GCAGCCCAGGGGTCCTCACACACCTGTGGTCTGCAGCCCAGAGGCCCTCACACACCTGTGGTCTGCAGCCCAGGGGCCCTCACTCAGAGCGGCAGCTTCTCCTCCCCACTGAGGAGCGCTGAGAAGGGTAGCAAACATCCTGAAATCCAGCTAAAGAACCTACGTCTACATGTGTTTGGAGGAGGTGGCCCCAGAGCATGTGGACCTCACTGGGGGAGCCGTGGGGTCACAGTGTCCTGTCCTCGGGCTCCTCCCCAGCCCACCCTGCTGTTCTAGAGATATAACCAGAAGATCAAGATCTGTGGACGCAGGGACATTTTGAGGCTTCTTCTTTTTCTAAAGTGTAAAGACAAAGTTCTTTTTTTTTTTTGAGATAGTCTCACTCCGTCTCCCTGGGTAGAGTGTCATGGTGTTATAGCTTATAGCAACCTCAAACTCTTGGGCTTAAGTGATCCTCTTGCTTCAGCGTCCTAAGTAGCTGGGATTACAGGTGCCCACCACAATGCTTTGCTAGTTTTTCTATTAGAGACAGGGTCTCACTCTCGCTCAGGTTGGTCTTAAACTCCTGAGCTCAAGGGATCTGCCCACCTCAGCCTCCCAGAGTGCTGGGATTATAGGCATGAGCCATCTTGCCTGGCCAAGACAAAGTTCTTAATTCTTTGGAGTGACCAAGAATCAGTTTCCCACGGCCACAGCTTGCCCTGGCACCAAGGTCCTCATTAGAGGCCTGGCTGCTGAGCTGGACAGGGGCCGGGAGCCAGACCCTCTGCTCCACACAAGGGCCACCTCTGCCCTACTTCCCAGCCTCTGGGGGCTGCAGTTTCCACATCTACAAAATGCAGTAATCACAGCCCCTCTTCACAGGGTTGAGTGGAAACGCAGTGAGTTAGCAAAGATGCCACTGCTCAGATGGGGCACTGGGCCAGGGCGGCCCCAGCCTGGCCTCAGCTGCCCCTGCAGCCCCTCCCATCCATGTGGGACGTGGCTGCAGCCAGTCATTACTGAGATATCAGGATATCTGTGTCCTAGAATGAGTTTATTTTCTGCCAGGCTGTATTTTCAAGTGGGAACATTCACCACACACAGGGAAAGCAAATGTCAGGACTGTGCTGAGGGTGGACGCTGTGTCCACAGCAGGGCCAGCCACTGCCGGCCTCTGGGGAGGATCTGCCTGCCTCATGGATCTCTCATCAAAGGCGGGCCCAGATTCTACTTTACCTTTTACTGATAAGAAATGAGAGGCCATCTCAGTCCTCTCCAGGAGACCCTGGCAGACGAAGCCCAAGTGTCTCCTGACTGGCTGTCCAGCACCCTTTGCCTTAGCCCACAGCCCCTTTTTATTTCACAGAAGTATCCTAGGGAAGGAAGGGTCTTGAGAAACAATGTTAGCCATCTCTATCTCAGAGGCAAGGGAGATGGGACCCAGAGGCTCATCTGCTGGGCACCTCCTGCCATGCCAGCCGCTGGGGCTGGACACAGGTCACCCAGAGCCAGGAGGCTGCTTTCATGTGAAAATCTGATTTGAGGGTTATTACATGGGGCAAGGGACAGGGACCGTGGCAAAGATGGTCGAGGCACTACATGCTCAGGACAGCCGGTGCCCAGCATCCCATAGGTTTCCATGGAGCGCCTCGGCCACCAGGGCACACGGGGCAGGGGCAGGTGTACGGTGAGGTACTAGACAGAAAGCCACACTTCCCCGTGTGAGTGCTGAATCACCCCGCCTTACTCTATTGATTATCTCCAGAAATAAAGAGCTTCTGAAAATGAAATTCAGGAATTGGCTTTCAGATTCATAATCGGTTTGATTTTTCCTCCTTTCAAATTCTTAGTCACCTTTATTTTTGGACAACCTAGAATTTACCTGGAAACATACAACATAGTTTAGAAAGAGAGGTGGGGTTTTCTGAAACGCCACACACGGAGGTGGTCTGACAACTCTAGAAATAGACAAGTAGATGAAATGCACAGAGGCTTTTGCTTTGGAAAAAGAGAAATTCAACAAACATTAGTAGGACCAGCACCGGGAAACGCAGAGCAGAAATCTAAGGTGGCTCTTGTTAGCTGGGGGAGGAGGGGCCTGGGCACAGTGACCCCCTTCTCCGTCGCACCACGGCCAGTGGTGCTTTGCACCATGCCCAGAAAGTCCTAGAAAAACAAGAGGCAGATAACACAGCAGCCAAAGATTTTTGGGTCGAAATGGATTTCATCCTTCAACGCTGCCCTTGTCTCCTGCTGGCACAGAAAGTAAAACATTAGTTTAGTTGTCTTTGAGTGCCGGATGGTGTAGCTTTCTACAATCAGAGTCTTTGCAAATTCATTAGGCCAGAAAGTGCAAGTCTAGTAAGTACTAGTGTAGGACGTTCCAGCAGGCGTCCTCGGCCACGGCTGACGTGCTGGAGGTATCCAGGAGCCCCGGGAGATTCTCCTCTGCCTTTCTCTCACTCTGTCCCTCTCACAGGCCTCTTTTTGTTTTTTCTTCCATGCCCTTTATATCATTCTGTTCTTTCTTTCTTTTAAATAAAATTCACTTATTTGTTTACATGATGCTTATTAATTGGGCAGCAGGTCTAGGCAGGCTCTGTCCTCCAGTATGAGGACACTGCATTTCCCCAGACAGACAGTATCTATGTCCAATAGGTTGGTAGTCATTCCTCCATTTTATTCTGAAAATTCTTATTTTTTGCTCACTGCAAACTCTGGACTCACGCGATCCTCCTGCCTCAGCCTCTGAATAGCTGGACGTACAGGTGCCCACCACCTCACCCAGAGGATTTTTCTATTTTAGTAGAGA